TGTATTGCCAGTGTAATGCAGGAGCAGCACGTGATGCTCCCTGCTGAGAAGATAGTTCAAAGTGCCCCATTTAATTAATATTCGTATCATGATATCAACCTTTACGTTGCTCATTATAGGTTTTAATACAATCCGAGGAAAATAAGTATTACAAATATTAAATTTATAAAAAATCTCAAAATATTTTTCATTACATTTCCTCCTTCTTCCCAAAACGTCTTGCGGCCGGATGAAACCTGCTGTCGGGCCGTATGTCTGACATCCCTGGTTTAAAGCATTTTCATTAAGTGGAGGAAAATAAAACATGGTGATTTATTTTGGATTCAGGAGGGACATGTTGAAAACACAAGTGTTTAAAACATAAAGATCAGCAGATAGCCAAAGAAACAGAGTTATAGCTCTTCATTTTTTGTTTATTTATCCCTGTTTATATCATTGAAAAATGTAATTGTATATTTTTATATATGTGGAAGGAACCCAACCCCAACTTTGGGAACCACTGCAATAGAGGATCTTTGATATGAAATCACACTGCTGACTTTCTGTAGCAACATAAATCTCATGCACTTTTCCTTTCTTTCAGTAACATCGACCCCATCTACTGAGAGTCCCTGTAAGAGAGCAGGTGAGATCTCTGCAGGAGGAGTGACGATGTTTTAAACCTTCGACTGTTTTAAATAACACTGGATATTTTATTGCAGATGTGTTCGTGTATGTCATTGCTGTGATCGTCTGTGGTGTTGTGCTGCTGCTGTTCGTGCTCATTTCGATCGTTACCTACAAAGGTAAGACGTTCATCACCAGTTTGTGCAACATGAAAACCACACTGAAACCAGATAGACTTCATATACGAGTCATAATCAGACACATTCAAAATTAACTCGTGCATGTCTTTCAGTTCTTATCTGTGACTGACACTGGCAGGCAAACGTGACCGAATGTGCAGAGAAAGCTTTAAAATCGATGCACTTTATAAAATATGATAATCTTTAAACCTTCTGGTTGTTTTCTTCTTTACAGGGTTGTCCCTTTCAAAAAGAACAAGACATGGAGCAGCAGCCCAGAACACCAAAGAGGTAAATGTTTGTTCTACAAATCCCGCGATAGTTCAAGTCGTGTAGCGCCCCCTGCAGACGCCATCTTAAGCTGTATTTTTGAAGGACAAATGTGTGTCAATGCATGCAAGGCCCCGCAAAGGATGCAGGATTCTTATATCTATTCATGTTGGCTGAACAAATCTTTTTTTCTGACCTCATGACAGTAATGTCTGTAGCCCTTTACAAGAATCACTCAGCTGTTAAGGAATGATATTCTTTTTTTTCTTGGCAGGATTACGTCTACGAGGAGATACAGGAGCGCCTCATGAATCCAGACTCACAACATGCAAACAACACCGTTAACGCAACAGTCGACTTTCCCAATGACTCGTCCGCCTAGCTCAGGGGTGTGCAACTGATGTAGCCCGGGGGCCACATGCGGCCCCCATCAACCCTCAATGTGGCCCTCAGGTCAATTTTGACATATCAATTAAACATGAAACATGAAGAGAACATGACAAAATCTGCCATGAAATCATGAAAACCAGAATGTGTCCATAATAATATTTGATCACTGGTATATGTTGAGTTAAATTTGAGACATAATTGACTGTAATAATGTTTGTATCCTACAATTTGGCCCCCTGACAGTGAGAATTAAATGAATGTGGCCCTTGCTGTGACCAAAGTTGCCCGTCCCATCAGCTTCCAGCAGAGCTCTGGCAAAGCTGGAGGTGAGGGACTGACCCTCAAACCCAGCTCCTCCGCCTGTGAATACTCGTCTGTGAAGAGAGAGTGCACACTCCAGCATGCAGACATTGATTCTTACACATTCTATCCCTGAACATCATCACCTGCAAAAGGATGAAAGAAAAGAGTCAGCTAAATTTGCATCTCTCTGCAGCCTAACGCCTTCCATTAGTTTGTAGACGACCATTTTTAAGTCTCTTCAAAAGCAGCAACCTCCGGAGTCAAATGTGTAAGGTGTTAAAAGCTGCAGTTCCTCGAGTGTCCACTTGAGGCAATAAAATCCCTGTCAGCTACCATATTAAAAAGTCTATTTTTACAAGGTCGTGCTGTTGGTGCACTTCTGGAGAAGTTAATAACTTCAGTTAATCATATTTAACTGAAGTTAACATCAAAGTTACTTTAACTGGTATCATTAAATACACCACAAAAACATCATCTGCTCATAATGTTAATAGATGGGAGTTTCACACTTTTTATTTATTTTGGGGTCAGACTCAAAACATTTCTTCTTACTGCTGTATTTTATGAGTTGGGGCTTAAACAGAACCACTATTCACTGTATCTGATTGTTTGTTTTTAGGATTATATTCGATGTTTATTTACATGTATTTGCTTTGAAAAACAAAGTGTTGTATGAAATGTGCTCTTTAATAAATCATCATCACAAACTGCACTGAGTGTTCAAAGATTTTATTTAAAGGAGCAGTATGTAACTCTGACACCTAGTGGTTAAAATGGGTACTGCAGTCCAAATTGTAGAGCGATGTCTCCCCCCCCCCCCCCCCCTTCTCTCTAGAGTGGATGCTCACTCAGGTCACCATGTGGTGGACTCTGAAGCTTCAGTGTTTATCCAGCTCTGCATGGGTCTGTAAACCTTTCTGTGTTCTAACCTCTCTCCATTTTTCAAAAGCATCTCCAATATTGATCCTAGTTTGAGCACGTTTCTGCTCGTGGAGCTTATTAGAAACATGCAGAGGCTTTTTAGGTCGGGTACAATCACTTCTATCTGAACCACTTCTCTTGACCCGCTTCCATCGCTGCAACACCTGTTGACCTGATAACTGCTCTCATATCTGACAAACCGAGGGGCGTCCAAAACGGCAGTGTGGGGGGGGTCACCTTAAAAGCGCCTACCTTCTCTGGTCCAAACAAATCCAGAGCATTCAGGAGCAGAATCTAAAGTTAGAAGGAGGACATGCCTTTGTTTTGGTAAGAAAACAAAGTAAACAAGAAACCTGTTAAGTGTTTTCAAAATCCTAAAATTTATTTTTCTGAGAGCGGAAAATTTAAACAAAAAAAACTCTGTTAACAAAAACAGTAGTGATCGTCTGTTTCTTTGTTACATAGCAACTAGCTCGTGTCCATGCTCTCTGCGTGGGCTAACCCCCCTCCCTCCCCTCCCTGGACGCTCTGGTAGATGGATGCCATGTCAGCGTTGGTTCTGATCTGGTTGGCAAAGTCGGCCATGCTGGGGCTCCGCTCCACCTCAGGGATGGCCAGCAGAGCGGCGACAGCGCGCATGGCAGAGCGCCGCAGCTCCTCCTGCTTCTCAAACTCCTGCTTCACAGACCCCGCCTTCACCTGTGGGAGGGAGAAGGGAGGGGAGGGGGCTTGTTTCAGTGTTATCTCGTACTTAAAGCTCCCATTAGGAACTTTATGTTTGCATCGATCTTGGCGCCCCTTGTGGCCAAAGTGGGAACCGCATTATTATGTATTTAGATTTCATCGACCCCAGACCACCTTGTTGCTGTATTTACTAAAGATCCTCTATGAACCTGGTACTGATCCTAGCTAACAGGTCTTCAGACTGAGACCTGGTCCTGATCCTAGCTAACAGGTCTTCAGACTGAGACCTGGTTCTGATCCTAGCTAACAGGTCATCAAACTGGGACCTGGTACTGATCCTTGCTAACAGGTCATCAGACCGTCATAAGAACCGTCATAAGAACCGTCATAAGAACCGTCATAAGACCCATCATAAGAACCATAATAAGAACCATAATAAGAACCATCATAAGACCCATAATAAGAACCGTCATAAGAACCGTCATAAGAACCGTAATAAGAACCGTAATAAGATCCGTCATTAGAACCGTCATAAGAACCGTCACAAGAACCGTCACAAGAACCATCACAAGACCCGTAATAAGAACCGTCATAAGAACCGTCATAAGAACCGTCATCAGAACCGTAATAAGATCCGTCATAAGAACCGTCATAAGAACGTCATAAGAACCGTAATAAGAACCGTCATAAGAACCGTAATAAGAACCGTAATAAGAACCGTCATAAGAACCGTCATCAGAACCGTAATAAGATCCGTCACAAGAACCATAATAAGAACCATCACAAGAACCGTAAGAAGAACGTCATAAGAACCGTAATAAGAACCGTAATAAGAACCGTCATAAGAACCGTAATAAGAACCGTAATAAGAACCGTCATAAGAACCGTAATAAGAACCGTCATAAGAACCATCACAAGAACCGTAATAAGAACCATCACAAGAACCGTAATAAGAACCGTCACAAGAACCGTCACAAGAACCGTAACAAGAACCGTCATAAGAACCGTAATAAGAACCGTCACAAGAACCGTCACAAGAACTGTCATAAGAACCGTAATAAGAACCGTAATAAGAACCATCACAAGAACCGTCACAATAACCGTCATAAGAACCGTAATAAGAACCGTAATAAGAACCATCACTAGAACCATCATAAGAACCATCACTAGAACCATCATTAGAACCATCATTAGAACCATCATAAGAACCATCACTAGAACCATCATAAGACCCATCACAAGAACCTTAATAAGACCCTGGACATAAAGAGATAACTGTAGTTAGAACATTACTGAATGAGAGATTACAAATAATAAAGTTTTTTTAAGAGAAATTAAAGAGAATAAAACAGTAAGAGGAAATAAAAGAGTAAATAAAGAGTCAACAACAACAACAACAAGGAATCATCTTAAATTAAAAGCTGTGAAGAAAAGGAGAGACGGTTGTTAGCGCGGGAGTTTTAAAACTTTGTAACGGGGGAAATAAAATATAAAATGTTTTTTAGATTTGGATTATAAAAGATGACAACGTGGCGTTATACTCAACATGTCCACCGGGTGGCGCCATAACCCCACCACACTGTCCTCTCTCACTTCTATTTTTATCTGAACCCAACAAGTGTCATGTTCCCCCCGGGTAGCCTCTCTCTCTCTCTCTCTCTCTCTCTCTCTCTCTCTCTCTCTCTCTCTCTCTCTCGCCATGTTGTTGGATTAAATCTGTCGCGTCACTTTGTATGACTGAAAGAAAACTCTCTGCTCGTCGCTTTTTAAAAGTTTGAACATGTCGAATGTGTCTTTCCATATCTCCAACCTGCTGGAGAAAATGACGTCAACGGACAAAGACTTCAGGTAAGACATGGGGGAAGTTCAACAGGCAGAGTGTGACAGTGAGATGACACTTTCTCACTCCACAAACACACACTCAGGCATCCTGCTTTATTATTCACGCTTTAAATTCAAAGTTTACCATTTCCTGTTCCTGCAAAAGTAAAAGAAGTTCATTTTAAAACACTTTCTGACATTTATCCTGCAGGTGAGCTCCTCAGACACAGGTTGATCTAACTCTGTATTCTGTCCTCTGTCTTTACACAAACACCCGTGAGATGGTTAATTGGCTCTTTTCTCCGCCCCCCTTTTTTCCAGAAATGATATTTTTGGTCCAACAGTTTTCATGCTTTTACTTTAACAAAGTCTTCAAGATGTGTCAGATCCTCTGTTAATGGATTAATCTGAAGAACACTCAGTTAATCAGCATCACCTTTTTCATTTAACTAGAAGAAGAAGAAGACATACTTTATTCATCCTGAGAGAGGAAATTCTTTTTTTACACTTTGTTGTTGAGCCACACAGACACATGTACAAACAGGATCCTGTGGACATGCTCTCATGGAGAGATGTTAGTGTGGGGGGGCTCCTGAGCTGGGGGGGGGGGCTCCAGCTGCCAGACCAATTTCAAGACTTGGTCCGCACCGGGACTTGAACCCCCAAGTCCCCACAGACTGAGCTACCGCCGCCCCTCACGTCCTGTTTCTGTGCTTAACTTCATGTCCTAACCTTCACTCTACCAGAAGGGCAAAGTGTATTTCAAAATAAAAGCACACAGCAAGTGAAGTACTCTCATTTTAAGACAGTGCAACATTTCAAAATAAAAGCCTCACAATTTTAAAAAATGTCAAATAATGGAATTTCAAACATGCGATTAAATATGTGATTTATTGGGGTGCTGGTGACCTCATTAGATTAATGAGGTCACAGTTTGTTTTTAGTACTTCTTTGTGTCCGAGTTATGCTAAATTTCCCCGGGACGTGTCGCTCTTCACTTTCAGGTTTATGGCGACCAACGACCTGATGCTGGAGCTGCAGAAGGACAGCATCAAGCTGGACGAGGACAGCGAGAGGAAGGTGGTGACCATGCTGCTCAAACTGCTGGAGGACAAAAACGGGGAGGTGCAGAACCTGGCTGTGAAATGGTAAAGAGAAACAACACACACACACACACACACACACACACACACACACACACACACACACACACACACACACACACACAAGCGTGCAGAAACCTTCTCCTCTGATGTGTTTATTATGTTTTTGGGTGAACGAGTACCTCACTTAAAAGGTTTGTTTGATTTCCAGCCTGGCTCCTCTGGTGAGCAAAGTGAAGGAGCCTCAGGTGGAGACGATGGTGGACACGCTGTGCTCTAACATGATGTCGGACAAAGAGCCGCTGAGGGACATTTCCAGCATGGGACTGAAGACGGTGATCGCAGAGCTGCCGCTGTCCTCGTCAGGTGACGGCCGAAAGAGCGATTTCTCATTATTGTAAATGTTGTTAACAGACAGAGAGAGGTTAGAGCTGCGGACGTGTTTAAATACATTGAAGTCAAGGGGCTTCAATGGAGAGAGAAACCTCCTCAGCAGTTTTTAGAGATGAGAGACATGAAGGAGGGTAACTCTGCAGAGGAACAACTGCCTCATATATTAAAGGTGTTAAGTGTATGAGCCTGCTGGTCACAATGACTCACAGTGAGTCCGAGCTTCACAGTTTGTAAAGAACCTCGAGGATGCGTCGCAGGCTGAATCCTCGATGTGGAGACGCTGAGCAGAGTCGTGCATGTCCAAAACATCAAAACATCAAAACTTCACCAGAGTCTAACTCAGGGAAGAACGCTGCAGCAACAAGACGCTTGTTTACATTTTATTTTGGTGGATTGTTAAATATGACTTTTGGGCCGCAGGAACTACAAGATGACATGTTGACGAAATGTTGTAGACACTTGACCTCACACTCAAAACATTCAGGATGCTTCAGTTGAAGATGTTTTTATATCAATCAATCCTTATTTCAGAATCAGAATCAGAAATACTTTATTTATCCCAGGGAGAAATGTGTTTGCTACAGTTGCTTATAACACCAAAAATCAGTAGGAAGTACAGATAAGTTGACAATATAAAATAAAATAAAAATTGCATAACAATATAATAAGCATGAGTACCAAGTGAAAGCAATAATAAAGTAGTATAAGTAATAAGCTGTGTTCAAGTGCAGGTAAATGAAACTACAATATTTAAAGATATGAATACACACTGATGGATTAACAGCGTAGATATTGCACGGTTCATGTATCGATAGCACTTCTGATGTATAAATATTGTCCAGTTTTCAACAGATTGCACAGTTTTAGTAGAGAAATAGTCAGGATTACAGACTCAGTGTCTGACTGTCAAATGGAAGAGACTGTATCGCCAATTCATACCAAGTGTTGTCTCCAGACGCTTTGCAAAGGAGCAGGCAAACGATCGAACTCATTGTTTAGATAAATGGGATTCCTCTCGTTCCTGTTGTCCACACTTCCTCCCCGCTGAGGTGGAGGTCGGAGCAGGCCGTGTGTGAACGAGGACAGCGTGGGCGTCACGGAGGTCGGGCCTCCTAAAGGCTTTAAATGACCCCGGAGGAGAACTAACATGAACAGCGTCCTGCTGAGCCGGCTCTGTTTCCCTAACCTCCCTTCATGTTGGTTTCCAGGTTTGACGCTGACCATCAGTGTGTGTAAGAAAATCACCTCCCAGCTGATCGGCGCCATGGGGAAACAGGAAGACGTGTCCGTTCAGCTGGAGGCCCTGGACATCCTGTCGGACATGTTGGGAAGGTTAAAAAAAAAAAAAAACCTTTTCTGTCCTGTCAGCAGCAAATCTCAGAGTCACCATCATGTAGCATTCTGATGTTAGCATTTAGCTTAAAGCGTGTGATCAGGAGTCAGTGTTTTCTGTTTGGTTTTGTTCCTCCAGGCTGAGTGGTGCTCTGGTCAGTTTTCACAGCTCTCTGCTCGCCAGCCTGCTGCCTCAGGTAAGAAACGCCCTCACACTCGTGTATGTGGAGCTCCCGCTGTGCCGTATAAAGACGAGATGGCGGCTGAGCTTAGTTACAGATTGTTAGATAGTCAAATGTTTTGTCTGTGTCTCTTTTTGTGACGGTCAGTTGACCAGCTCCAGGATGGCGGTCAGGAAGCGCTCCATCTTGGCTCTGGGTCAGCTGGTGCCCTGCTGTAGCCCCGCCCTCTTCTCCCAGCTGACTGAACACCTGTTGACGGAGTTATCCAAAGCCCCGCCCACCTCGATGACGAGGACGTACATCCAGTGCCTGGCAACCGTCAGCCGTCAGGGCGGCCATCGAGTCGGTGAGATGTGTGGTCATTTTATCAAACCCATCGGACAGTGACCGTGAACATAATGAGTGTGTGTGTGTGTGTGTGTGTGTGTGTGTGTGTGTGTGTGTGTGTGTGTGTGTGTGTGTGTGTGTGTGTGTGTGTGTGTGTGTGTGTGTGTGTGTGTGTGTGTGTGTCCTTCAGGTGAACATTTAGAGAAGTTGATCCCCATGGTTGTAAAGTTCACCAGCGTGGAGGACGACGAGCTGAGGGAGTACTGCTTCCAGGCCTTTGAAGCTTTTATACGCAGGTAACACACACACACACACACACACACACACACACACACACACACACACACACACACACAGACACACACACACACACACACACACACACACACACACACACACACACACAGACAGACACACACACACACACACACACACACACAGACAGACAGACACACACACACACACAGACACACACACACACACACACACACACACACACAGACACACACACACACACACACACACACACACACACACACACACACACACACACACACACACACACACACACAGACACGCACACACACACACAGACACACACACACGCACACACAGACACACACACACACACACGCACACACACACACACACACACACACGCACACACAGACACACACTCGGTCTCCCCCCTCTGTTTTTTTTCATGTTGTCTTTTTTTGATTGACAGGTGTCCAAAGGAGATGTCACCTCACGTTTCCACGGTAACACAGCTTTGTCTCAAGTTCATGACCTTTGACCCGAACTATAATTATGACGAGGCGGAGGAGGATGAAGACAGCATGGACATCGAGGACGGTTTTGATGAAGGTTTGAAAGTCTTTCTCTAACAGCAACTTTTTTATTTTTTTTATTTGTAAACAGGAAGTGAATGAAAAACAAATCATCCAGAAACACAAAGAAACTTTTGTTTACATGTTGTTCTCTTTATTTTTAAGCCTTACAATTTAAATTTTTAATGCAAAATAATAGCATTTCAAACATGCGGTTAACGTCGATTAAAAAAGACAGTGAAGAACGAGCCCGCCTCCTCTCCCCTCCAGAGTCGGACGACGAGTACAGCGACGACGACGACATGAGCTGGAAGGTGCGGCGCTCCTCCATCAAATGTCTGGAGGCGTTGATCAGCACTCGCAGAGACCTCCTGCTCTCCTTCTACTCCTCCGTCTGCCCCGCCCTGCTCGCCCGCTTCAAGGAGCGAGAGGAGAACGTGAGGGCCGACGTGTTCGCCGCCTTCTCCGCGCTGCTGAGGCAGACGCGAGCGGGATCCGGTCACCGTGGCAACCTCATAGCCGCCTCAGACTCCGGAGTGAGCGGGGAGGAGGAGGAGCCAGCGGTCGCAATGTTGAAGAAACAGGTACGGAGTGATATCGACGACAAGTGTAGAGATAGTGATGTGACAGTTTGCCAAAGGTCAAAGGTCAAAGGTCAGAGGTCAGAGGTCAAAGGTCAAAGGTCAAAGGTTACAGTTTCAGGAGTTTTTTAAATTTGTGCTTTAGAAGATTTTTTAACATTTTCAAACATTTCAAAAGTTTGCAGACAAGAGGAAACGAAGCATACATAAGACTAGTGTGTGTGTGTGTGTGTGTGTGTGTGTGTGTGTGTGTGTGTGTGTGTGTGTGTGTGTGTGTGTGTGTGTGTGTGTGTGAACAGGTGGTGGTGATAGTGAAGGCTCTGCACAGACAGCTGAAGGAGAAGAGCATCAAATCTCGTCAGGGCTGTTTCTGTCTCCTCACTGAGCTCACTCACACCGTACCAGGAGCCCTGGAGCCACACATACCTGCACTGATCCCAGGTACACACACACACACACACACACACACACACACACACACACACACACACACACACACACACACAGTGAAGTATCCTGAGATAATGTGTAGTGGGTACTTTCCCCCTTATTCAGCATGTGAGGCTGAAAAAGTGGAACTTAATGTACGGAGTGTCTCCATGACAACCGATGAAAGGAGTTTAGTGAGTCAGCTGTTGATGGCTTTAATAGGCCCCTCCCACTCTGCACTTTAAGTAGTTGGACAGGATACATCCTCTACTGGAAGAGTGTAGAGAACGGTTTGAGAACAACACACACACACGCACACACACACACACACACACACACACACACACACACTTCTTCTACCTGCTTCTAATTTCTTGCTCATATGCACTTCAAACGTTCTAACATCAAATCATCTTTTCCTTCAATTTATTTTTCTGTCAATATTCCTCCACTCTTTTCCTTTTTCTTTCTTCTCCTCCCTCCTTCCTTCTCCCTCCATCCTCCTCCCTCCTCCCTCCATCCTCCTCCCTCCTCCCACCTTCCTCTGTCCTCCTCCCTCCTCCCTCCTCCCTCCTCTCTCCTCCCTCCTCCCTCCTCTCTCCTTCCTCCTCTCTCCTCCTCCTCCCTCCTCTCTCCTCTCTCCTCCCTCCTCTCTCCCCCCTCCCCCCTCCTCTCTCCTTCCTCCTCCCTCCACCCCCTCCTCTCTCCTTCCTCCTCCCTCCACCCTCCTCCCACCTTCCTCTGTCCTCTGTCCTCCTCCCTCCTCCCTCCTCCCTCTTCCCTCCTCTCTCTGTCCTCCTCCCTCCTCCCTCCTCTCTCCTCCCTCCTTCTTTCTCCCTCTGTCCTCTGTCCTCCTCCCTCCTCTCTCCTCCCTCCTCCCTCCTCCCTCCTCTCTCCTCCCTCCTCCCTCTTCCCTCCTCTCTCTGTCCTCCTCCCTCCTCTCTCCTCCCTCCTTCCTTCTCCCTCTGTCCTCCTCCCTCCTCCCTCCTCTCTCCTCCCTCCTCCCTCTTCACTCCTCCCTCTGTCCTCCTCCCTCCTCTCTCCTCCCTCCTTCTTTCTCCCTCTGTCCTCCTCCCTCCTCTCTCCTCCTCCTTCTTTCTCCCTCTGTCCTCCTCCCTCCTCCCTCCTCTCTCCTCCCTCCTCCCTCTTCACTCCTCTCTCTGTCCTCCTCCCTCCTCTCTCCTCCCTCCTTCTTTCTCCCTCTGTCCTCTCCCTCCTCCCTCCTCTCTCCTCCCTCCTCTCTCTGTCCTCCTCCCTCCTCTCTCCTCCCTCCTTCTTTCTCCCTCTGTCCTCTGTCCTCCTCCCTCCTCCCTCCTCCTCCTCCCTCCTCTCTCCTCTCTCCTCCCTCCTCCCTCCTCTCTCCTCCCTCCTCCCTCCTCTCTCCTCCCTCCTCCCTCCTCTCTCCTCTCTCCTCCCTCCTCCCTCCTCTCTCCTCTCTCCTCCCTCCTCTCTCCTCCCTCCTCCTCCTCTCTCCTCTCTCCTCCCTCCTCTCTCCTCCCTCCTCCTCCTCCCTCCTCCCTCCTCCCTCCTCCCTCCTCCCTCCTCTCTCCTTCCTCCTCCCTCCTCTCTCCTCCCTCCTCCCTCCTCCCTCCTCCCTCCTCTCTCCTCTCTCCTCCCTCCTCTATCCTCCCTCCTCCCTCCTCTCTCCTCCCTCCTCCCTCCTCTTTCCATCCTCCTCCCTCCTCTCTCCTCCCTCCTCCCTCCTCCCTCCTCTCTCCTCTCTCCTCCCTCCTCTCTCCTCCCTCCTCCCTCCTCCCTCCTCCCTCCTCCCTCCTCTCTCCTCCCTCCTCCCTCCTCTCTCCTCCCTCCTCCCTCCTCTCTCCTCCCTCCTCCCTCCTCTTTCCTCCTCCTCCTCTCTCCTCCCTCCTCCCTCCTCCCTCTCTCTCCTCTCTCCTCCCTCCTCTCTCCTCCTCCTCCCTCCTCCCTCCTCCCTCCTCCCTCCTCTCTCCTCCCTCCTCCCTCCTCTCTCCTCCCTCCTCCCTCCTCTCTCCTCCCTCCTCCCTCCTCTATCCTCCCTCCTCCCTCCTCTCTCCTCCCTCCGTCCTCCAGGCATCGTCTTCTCGCTGACAGACAAGTCGACGTCCTCCACCATGAGGATCGACGCTCTCTCCTTCTTCCACGTCCTCCTCCTCACTCACCCTCCTCAGACCTTTCAGACGCACATGCAGGTTGTTAATCACTCACCACTTGATGTGTAACCTGCAGAGTTCAGGTTCTTCATATTTGATCTCACACCTCTCCTCTCTCCTGCTTCTCTTTTTACAAACAGATAAGAGGCACAGTGCAGATATATCATTTTAAACATTTCAACGTCTCGTCTTCTTCTGATACAGACATAACCGTCACGTCATTGTAAACATCATACCAATAACCGACGTCTTTTGAACCAGTTGATGAATGTGTGTTCATAAATCTTGACTCTGTACCCTGTGCTGTGCTCCCTGCAGGTGCTGCTGCCCCCGGTGGTGGCGTGTGTGGAGGACACGTTCTATAAGATCACGTCTGAGGCTCTGCTGGTCACCCAGCAGCTGGTCAGAGTGATGAGGCCGCAGGGACAGAACGCCACGGCGGCGGGAGGATTCGACCCCAAACCGTTCGTCAGAGAGGTAAGATGTTTTTTTTTGTCTTCTGATCTGGAACACACCTGTTTCAGGTGAAAACGTAAATGTAAAGATTTAGTAAAACATACAGGTGAACAGGGGAAACCTGTGGACTGCTCGCTCCGGGTGGAGAGCGAGTCTCAAGTATCTCGGGGTCTGGTTACAGAGTGAGGGTGAAACAGATCATGTGATTCACAGGCGGAGTGCTGCAGCGTCAGCAGTATTGTGTGAAGAGTTTTTACCTCTCGATCTTCGTTCCACCCCTCACCTGTGGTCATGAGCGTTGGTAGCTTTAAAGCTAAAGAATCACTTCAAAATATCTCAACATTGCACTCACTCATTTTGTTAGTTCACTACTCCTTATAACTTCTTGTCTGTGTGCCTGTAAGCTATTTGTTACATGTCCTGTACATGCTGAGTGATGTTTTTATATGTTCTATTTGTTACCTACCAAGGGACTGCAGATGTAAATTAGCCTAATGCTAACTCTGGTGCTCTGCATCAAATGGTTACATTTATGTTTGAATTGCACACGGTCTCTTACAAATAAAGTTAAACTGAAAATAGAGACTGAAGAATGAGATCGTGAATACAAGCGGCTGAGATGAGTTTCCTCTGGAGGTCGTCTGGGCTCAGCCTCAGAGAGAGGGGGAGGAGCTTAGACATTCAGGAGGAGCTCATGTAGAGCTGCTGCTCCTTCACATCGAGAGGACCCGGTCGAGGTGGTTCAGGGATCTGATCAGGATCCTCCTGGGCGCCTCCCTTTGGAGGTGTTTTCGGGCACGTCCAACTGGGAGGAGACGCCGAGGAGACCCAGAGTTCTCTGGAGGGATTATAGATCCCGTCTAGCCCGGGAGCGCCTCAGAATCCCCCAGGAGGAGAAGCCGGAAAAGGTCGCTGAGAGAGAGGCGTCTGGGTTTGCCTCGACCCGACCCCCAAATAGATGATAGATAGAAAGCATGCAGTATGTTAAACTACTTTTCTACATCACAAATCTTCATGTTTTGTCTTTGCAGGTGTTTTCTGTGACCATGAAGAGGCTGAAAGCGACAGACATCGACCAGGAAGTGAAAGAGAGGGCGATATCCTGTATGGGTCACATGGTGTGTCACCTTGGCGACCACCTGGGGGCGGAGATGCAGGGCGTCTTGGCGATCTTCCTGGAGTGGTTAAAGAATGAGATCACGAGACTGACAGCAGTGAAGACCATCACC